GCCCTGTGAGCAGAGGCCTGCTGAGGCCATTCCAGACGGTGGGAATGGCACTGGTACAGAAAACCTGAGCTCTCACCTCCATGTCCCCATTCCAACCAGCAGATCTTCACAGCTGGGTTAGGACAGGCAGGGAACAGCTGAACCCAGGTCTGTCCTCGTGCTCTGAGCCCCTTGGACAGCTCAGAGGAGGTTACAAAGCTCAACCCCATCTTTTCAGCCTGGCTGGCCCCTGCTACACATACACCCTGTGGTAACAGTGGTGTGGAGAGGAAGAGGAGGAAAAAAACTCACCTAAAAGGCCACAGATTGCAAAGCAGGGCCCTCCCAAACACTCTGTGCTCACCTGGCCCAGCTCTGCCTTTGGGAAGGAAAATATTTTCCTGGGAATTAATTCTGCACTAGGAAAGGAGGCCTCAGAAAGTCCACAGGGCTACTAGGAGGGGACACAAGGAACCTGCAGCAGCCACCCCACATGGGCTCCCTACAAAACACAAGGCACCAAGAATGACAGTGATGCCCCTGTGAGCACGTCCCTACTTGCTCCCACAACAGCTTCTGTGTTTCAACACACAGCTGGGGCCCTGCAAGTCCCTGGTCCCCTCTGCAGAAGCTCTGAGCAGCTGAAGAAACCCAGCCATGTGGATTTTTGCCCTCAAAGAAACCTTAAATACAATTGCTCAACATGGAAAAAAAATCCTGGCTTTAACAGAGTTAAAGTTTCACCAAGTTGATGTGTTGGCCTTAAAGCTGCTGTTCAGTGTTGCACAGAATGTCACAGAATATTCTGAGCTGGAGTTCTCCCAGCTGCACCAGTAGGCAAGCAGGATGGGAGAGCCAGAAGTAGCTCCTACTCCCAAAATACACAAAACTTGGGACCTACCCAAGTCCCATTTTCCTTCCCAGATCCACTCCTTTCATGCTGTACAACTCCCTTCTAGACAAATAGCAGAGGGGACGTGCCTGGGCCAGTGAAGGCTTCCAGGGAAAGCCAAATTCCCCTCTTGTGGCTGTGCAGAATGTGATTTCCTGGCTGCTTCCAGCAGGAGCCACGGCAGCTGCCCAGCAGATGGCAACAGTCCTGCACTGCATCCGCAGGATTTATGGCTGCCCTGTCCTGCAGAGCTCAGACAGAGCCTTCCTCAGACCCTGCTGGCCCAAAACACAAATTCCCAGGGCCAAAAATCCCTGTTTGGGGTATTTATGGTGCTCCCAGGCAGCACTTACGGAACACTGGCTGAGCATCTCCTCCAGCCTACCTAAAGTCATACACCTCCATGCCCATCCCAGCCCAATCTCAGCATTTTCATGCTTCATTTTCCTTTTTCTAGAGTCAGCTTCCCACTCTGGACTGCCCAAGGGGGTTCACCTGCCCCAAGAGCAGAGCAGAGGGACAGAGTCCTCACCCTAGGGCAAGGCACAGCAGGTGCCAGGCTGTAGTGCTGGGCTGATGGTTGAGCTTGGAGGTCTTTTCCAGCCTTAATGTTTCCATGATCCCAACAAAACTAACTCCAAATTCCCCTCCATGTTCCCCAGAGCATTCTAAACGAGTCCTGTGCCTCAGCACTGAGTCATGAGCACCACAGGAGCTCTGAGGGGAGGCAAGAACTCCCACCTTCCAGGCAGTCAGCAGCCAAGCTTTGCCAGCCCAGCCTGGGGGAAAACAGGGCTCAGGTGTCCAGATGGAAAAGCTCCAAGCTCCCTTCAACGTGACTTTGACAAAGCAGGAAGGCTGTCATTAGTTTTTGGTGGTTTCTCACCCAGCAACCACCACGCTTCCACCTGAGGCAGGAGGAACACACTGGGAGGTGATCCCAGCCAGGTGATGCTCTCCCTGCTCCCAGCTGGGTGCCCAGGGATGAGGTTCCTCTTGAACGTGCCACAGAAGAGCTGCTGGGATTGGGATGAGCCCCCTGAAAGCCCAGCTGGAGGCATGAGAAGCCACATGGCCGCAGGAGCTGCTGTCTCAGTGGAGCCACAGGAGCAGAAATCCTCTTTGGAAGCACCTTTACAGACAGCCCTGTCTGCTGGACACTCCTGGAATGGTGCAACAGGAGCCAGGAGATCCATGGCACATCCAGAGCCACACCAGTGGCTGAACTGGGGCAGTATCCAACATTACAAATTCCTGAGTTCACACCTTGTCCCCTTCAAAAGCCTTCTCCTGGAGGAAGCAGGTGTTGGTGGTCCTCTCTGGAGAGCAAATACTGGGTGAAGTCCCCAGCTTTGAGCTCTCAGGGTTTTCCATGGATGCTGAGCTCTCCTGATGACAGCCACCAGAAGAGGACATGAGTCATCAAGCAGAGCAACCTTATTAACAAAGAGAAGACATTTTCCTGGAGACTGCTTAAAGCACTTGTTTATACTTGTTTGAACAAACACTGAGGAGAAAAGCTCCTGGCAGACCCCAGCACTAGGAAGAGCTGAGCACTCCAGCCACTGGGATTTTGGGCTGTTTAAGAGGGACCACAGCCAGTGCTCCACTCAATAACCACAACTGCTCCCAGGACTTCTGCAAATGCAGCAACTCCTTCAGCTCGGATGTGACAGGGGAGGAGAAATCCCAGCTGTGCCACTTCACCCCCATGGCCCTGCCACACCCAGAGGGGCTCACGCAGTGCCTGAGGTGTCCCAGCTGTGTTTTGGGGTGTGTTTAGCTGTGTGTCCTGGTGCAGCATCATTCCAGGGCTGACACGGGGATACCCCAGAGCCCAAACTTGGTGCAGTGAGAAGTCTACTCTGAGGAAAGGTGATGGTTTCACTTTTAAAGGTGATTTTCCTCCCCCACCAATCTCTTCTGGAGAATCCAAGCAAGATGGGCCTATTATAGGTGTTGGGAGCAGCTGTTTATTCTGTTCTCTGCCTTGCTGATACCCTAAGGAAGAAGGGTCTGCTGGAGGCCTCTCCAGGCCTTTCCCCAGTGCTCCCGTGAGGAACACACCTTTGCTGCTCCCAGCAGGATGCTTTGTACCACGGCTTCTCCCTCCCTGGGCCAGCTCCAGCTTTCCAAGGCACAGCACTCCAGGACGTGTGGGACAAAAGGCACGTTGGGAGCTCACGGCTCAGCCAGAAGAGAACAAAAACCCCCTCGCCCCAAGACTCCAGTTTATTTTTACACTCCCAAGGCTGAGTGGTATTTCTCGAGCATGTTCTCATTTGCTGAACCTCTATGAAATCCTGGCAGGCTGGAAATTATTTCGAATCATGTATCCAAGACAACAAGGATAATTCTTCCCCAGCATGTTAAACGTAGAGCTGTCCCTTAGATGACTACACTGAATTCAGTATAAAAATCCACTCAGATCTTTTGGAAAAGGAGATTTCAGGACTCATCACCTTTTTCCTTTGGGTCACCTTGTCTTTACAAGGAACAGTTGGCCCAGCAGCAGAAGTATTTCATCCCAGTGGGGCACACACCTGCCTTGTTGGTATTGCTGCCCAGAATAGCTCCCAGTGCTGACAGAGCTCATCTGTGTTAAATTAGCCCTTGGAAAACATCCCTGCTCGGAATCTCAGGCAAGATGGTCCCTTGACACAGGTCTAGGAGCACAAAGTGAAAGCCTTTTCCTGTCACAGCCTCCACACTGCTCAGACCACTGTTAAAATGTACATTTGTGACCCTGCATCACCTAAAAAACATGGAAATCCATCTCCCTCCCTGCTCTCCTGTCCCACTTCTCCTCAGCTGTTCCTGGGGCTTTGAACTACCTTTCAAAAGAGGAAAAATAAACCAATATTCAAACTTGCCTGGAGAAGCTGTGGCTGCCCCTGGATCCCTGGAAGTGCCCAAGGCCAGGTTGGACAGGGCTTGGAGTGATGTGGCATAGTGGAAGGTGTCCCTGCCCATGGCAGGGGGTGGCACTGGATGAGTTTAAAGGTCCCTTCAATCCAAATAATTCCATGATTTAGGACCAGCTGCCTAACACACAGGCTATCATTAACCTCTCATCAAGAAATCACAAGTCCAAAATTATGTACTACAGACCACACCAAGCAAAACTACATACAAATGTAAATAAATAAATCTGCATGCAAATACAAAGCAGGTCGGGAGTCTCATTGCCAGCAACAAGTAGTGTGATAAAAATCACAAAGAATCATAAAATATCCTGAGTGGAAAGGGGTCCACAAGGATCAGAGCCCAATTCCTGGTCCTGCACAGCACAATTCCAAAAACGTCCTGGCTACCACAACATAGGTGTCACACCTCCGAAGAGGCAAGTTTGGAAAAGAAAAAGCAGAGGGGAGTGATTCAGTCCCCACGTGGGACAGGGACCCAGCCATCCCTTTACTCCCAAGGCTCCTGCAGCACCTCCTGCTCCAGGCTGGAAGGCACAGAGCAGGAATGGGTGAAGCCTTCCAAGCCAAGCCCAAAACCCCCAGGCACAGACAAGGGGTCTGTCCTTTCCAGCTGGGAACAGCAGGATCACTGCTGCAATGTGCCCCTGTGGTAAGGAATGCAGAAGGGAACCAAGGCATGGAGGCTTTAACTAGAGGAAAACAACCCAAACCAGAGAAACAGCCTTCATCAAGCCTAAGAATAGAGAGAAAATGTAGACTTTTGTCCTCTGCTCTGCCTTTTATTGGCCAAAAGGCACCAAATGTCAATGTCCCACTGCTCAGCTGTGCCTCTCAGGTAGGCTCCTGGCTGGTACAACTCAAAACCAAGCTCAGGTTTTCCAGGCTCAGAAACTCCAGCAGGAACACAAACCCAAGAGCAGCAGGTCCCCTTCCCACGTCACCGTGTTTCACCACAGAACGGGCTCCCTTTCCACCCAGGGCACCGTGCTCTGCTCTTTCCATTTTATCAACACCAATTTTAACTTCAAAAGCACCAAATGCTTGGTGCAGGTTCTCCGGGCCCGTCACCCAGAGACTGAATTTGTCTTTACATGTTAAGCATCCCTGAGTCCTGTCACAGCAAACTCCTCTCTCCCCAGGCAAAGCCTCCATGCCCAAATCCCACTCCAACATTTATGGGAACAAACAGAGCTCATACTTGCCTCAAACGTGACGAAGTCATCAAACTCATCGGGGCAGGCCGGGGCTTCCTCCTCGGGGGTATATCCCATATCATACAGCTGGCTGTCAGGGTCTGCACGGGGAAAAAAACACACAGCTGCAATCAGCCAGAGGGAAACCTGCACCCTCACGCCCAGGGTGGGTTTGGGAGACGTGGCAGCGGTGGCACAGGAACTTGCGCGTGCTCGCACGGGTGCCGCAGCCCTCAGGAAGGGGCTCTGCTCCCGGGCACCCCACCTGCACCAGGGCTGAGGGCACGGCTTCCACAAACCTTACGAGGCTCCGTGTGCTCCAGTGGGGCCAGCTCCTGGATCCACCCCTACCCCTCCATGCCCTCCACTCGCTTCCCCATCCCCGTTGCCCGCATCCTTTAATTCCTCTCGCAGAAGGCTTTAATCCCGCCGTGGGCAGGGAGTGCCGGGGATGTGTGTGTGACAGCCAAGCGCCATGGGAACGGCGGGGAAGGCAGGCTGCAGCTCTGCATCGGGAGCATCCGCACAGGAACGGGAGCTGTGCAGCGAGGGAGCCTCAGAACGAATTCCTGCTCCCAGCCCGCAGCCCCGCTCCCGTTGTTCCTTCCAGCGAGGAAGGGAGCGAGAACTCCCCGCGCTCCCTGAAGCCAGGGCAAGTGCCCAGTCCGGCAGGCAGCCCCGATGCCAGGCTGGAGGCGCCAGATCGGAGCGCTGCTGCAGTCCCAAAATAAACAGCAGCAGCACGCTCGAGCCCACACGCCTCAGAGCCGCCATGGCTGCGCCACCGGGCCTGGCTGCTCCGAGGAACCGGGCCGTGCTCCCAGGGAATGCACAAGGATTTGGGGAGGGACAGGGGTCACTTTCTGTGCCCTCAGAGCCCACCCCAGCCCCCCCAAAGGGGCACACAAGCTGTCCTGCTGTGGCCGCCCTGATGGGACAGTGCCAGCCTCATCCAGAGGCACAGGCAGAGCTCCCGCTCTGGGCCCTTCTCCAGGTAGCAAGAAAAGCCATTTTTCATTAAGGAATCACGCTGTGGTTATTTCATACATCTGGTAAAAGGTCAAGGGTTTAGGGGTTGCTCAAGGCACTGGGGGTGCTCAGCCTGGAGAGGAGAAGGATCCAGAGACACCTCCCAGTGCCTAAAGGGGCTCCAGGAGAGCTGCAGAGGGACTGGGGACAAGGGATGGAGGGACAGGACACAGGGAATGGCTCCCACTGCCACAGGGCAGGGATGGATGGGATTTGGGCAGGAATTGTTCCCTGGGAGGGTGGGCAGGCCCTGGCACAGGGTGCCCAGAGCAGCTGTGGCTGCCCCTGGATCCCTGGCAGTGCCCAAGGCCAGGCTGGATGGGGCTTGGAACAGCCTGGGACAGTGGAAGGTGTCCCTGCACATGGAATGAAATGAATTTTACGGTCTCTTCCAACCTAAAGCATTCTGAGAATCTCTGATTTAGGGCACAGGCCTGCAGCAACGTCTCCCACCTAAACACCATGCCAGGGCCTCTCAGCTGACCATTAAATGCACACACAGGTGGGCACCCTGGAGATGCTGCACCACCAGGAGATACTGCAGCCAGCAACCTGAGGAGTTCCCTGGGGTGGGAGAAGCTGAACACATGGCACCAAGAAATGATCCCTGCCTTCACCTGGGCCTGACTCCCAGGGTCAGGCTGTCAATCCACTCCAGGAATGACCCAAATTGCTTTTCCAGTGCCATACCCAACACTGTGCTCCACAGGCTCAGGGCTGCAGCAGGGGAAAGGAGCTCTTGGTCACAGCTTAGGCCTTCGGTGGCCCACTGCTGTCCCACTGTGGCAGCAGCAGTGGTGCTGCTCCGAGCTCCCCTCCAGCTGCAAAACCAGAGCAGGGCCCTGGGATGCAGCTGGAAGTGCTGCTGCTGCCTGCACCCTGCTCAGGGCAGGGTCACCTCCTGCTCTGACTGTTGGGGTAGCACAGGAGGATCTTGGACTTGATCACCTTGCAGGTCTTTCCCAACCTTAATGAGTCTATCATCTGAAGATGGCATTGTGCCTCTCCTCAGTGTCCCTCTGTCCCCACCTGCACAGCTCCCCCCATGAGCCTGAGCCTACAATCTGGAGGAGTTTTCCCATTAATTATCCCTGGTGCTACCCTGGGATTTGAGCCTGGTGGCTGGCAGCAGGGAGGGGATGGGGACAGTGACCTGCTCACCTCAGTGGGTGCCACCAAGAAGAGCCTTTGCCCACATCTGGGGCAAAACTAAAACCAAACAGTGCTCCTAGAAGGCAACTTGTGTCACAGCACCCCTCCTGCCCACCAGCACACACAGGCAGTGGTCAGCTCCAGGCATCTCCACAGATCCTGCTGCACCCCACAGCAGCCCCTGGAACCAGATCCTAAAGGCACAGGCTGCTCCCTTCTCCATATTCCCTCATCATTTCTTTTCCTCCCCCTCCAAGTAGACATACAAACACTTCCTACTCTTCTACAGACACAGATAAAGATATTTATTCTCCTCACTCCTTCCAGAGGGGCTGGAAAAGGGAGGATTTGCAGGCAAGTGAAGACTTCCCTTTGGAATCAGGGGTATGAAGCGTGGGCAGAGCACAGGCACAGGCAGCTCCTGCCATCCATCACCTGCCTCCTGCCCAGCTCCTGCCCAAACCAGGGGTTCTGCAGCCTTCCCAGCCCTTCAGGGAATGAGCATGCTGGGCATCAATGGGATCCTTGTTGCTCCATCTGTGTGCAGAGAGCCCAGCCCAAACAGGGTGTCTCTGTGTAACGTGGGTTTATTTTCACAGCAAATTCCAGTGTAAAAATTCAGGAAAGGCCACCTGAGAGGTCACCTGCACACTCGTGGTGGCATGGCCAGCACAAGCCGTGCCCAGGAGCCAGCACTCCATGCTTCCACCTCCCCACACGTCACAGAGAGCAAAGACAAACAGCACCACAAACAAAGCTTGATTTTTCTGCTGGATTCATTCCCTCCCCCTCCAAAAAAAAGCCATATAGTGCTTTGTGTATAGGGAGAGTTGCCATGGAGAGCCTGCAAATCTGCCAGCACAATAGCCTGCATTAAGCTTGCAAATTCCTGCCCAAAAGAACCAAAAAACCCTGGGAGCCAAAAAATTGGAGACCTTCCGTGTGGAGTGGCACTCCCCATGTGGACATCACTGTCCCCAGGTGCAGAGGAACCACGAGGTGACAGCTGGAGGGGTTTGTTCCCCCAACACCAGGAACAGAGCCTGGGATGGCTGTGGGCCACCAGCAGCACTCAATAGCCCCAGTCTGTGGCACAGGCTGAGCTCACACCCTCATGTTCCCTCTGCTCTCCACCCTGGACATTAAAATCAAGTCCCAGCTGGCCCCTGCTCTGCTTCACATGCTCTTCTCCCTGCCCCTCACAGCACAAAGAGCCTTTCCTTGCTCACACCCATCCCTGAGTTCTCTTTATCCTTCCCCAGGTGGTCACAACACCTGGGGTCACCTCTGCCCTACTCTGCTCAAACCCAAGCGTTTACCCAGGGCTGGGGGTGGCACCAGGGACTGCCTTTTGTCCTCTGAGTGCCCATGACCAGCTTCTCCTGCACCTCCAGCTCTATCCATCACTGCCACTGCCAGGCCAGTCACATCTATAAACATCCAAAAACCCTGAATGTACAAATCAGGCTCTGAGAGACCTTCCAGGCAGCTTTACTGCTAAACCACCACAGAATCATGGAATCATTCAGGCTGGAAAAGCCCTCTAAGGTCATCAAGTCCAACTGCTCTCCCAGCACTGCAAAGGCCACCACTAACCCATGTCCCCAAGTGCCACATCCACACAGGGATGGGGACTCCACCACTGCCTGGGCAGCTGTGCCTGTGCCTGACCACCCCTTCCATGAAGGAATATTCCCAATATCCAACCTAAACCTCCCCTGGCACAATTTGAGGCCATTTCCTCTTGTCCTGTCACTGAAAGCCACCATTTAAAAGCCTTGTGGATGTGGCACTTGGGGACATGGGTCACTGGTGGCCTTGGCAGGGCTGGAGGAATGGTTGGTCTCAATGATCTCAGAGGGCTTTCCCAACCTGAATAATTCCATGGGCTCTCCATGGGGGTGGATGAGACCTCTTCCCATGTCTTGCTGAGCTTCAGAGCTCTCAGATCTGCCAGAGTCACCTGGGCTCTCCCAGGAACCCTCAGGAACAGCAGTTCTGGGATAAAGCTCCTGAAATAGATTCTAAAAACTGCTTCCAGAAGGCAGGATCACAGTGAAAAGGCACCTTGAGTGAAGGGCTGTGGGTACAGCAGTGACACATGGGTCACACAGAGCCAGTTTTATCGGCTGCATATAGGAGTGACCTAGAAAAAAGAGCCTTTCAGGAGCATTTAAGTCATCTACCAACACACTGTACACACTGCTGCAAGCCACAGAGCCTCCAACTCCAAGTGATTCCAAAAGGATGGATTTTCTGAGCTCACAGACCTGCATGGTTCAGTGTGAGAGCAAGGCCTGGAACCTGCCTGAATGGCACAGAATAAAACAGACCCCAGAAAGGAACAGGATGAAGTTCTGGTTGGCTTAAGGAAGAAAAAGTGATGTAAATCCAGCTCCCTTACTGGGAATGCTGCTGGAAAACAAGAGACACACAACCAAGGATTTAAAAGTTGCAAGAATTCAGGAGGATCCTGCAGAGGGGAAGCCACTATCCAGCATTTGAAGAGGAGGCTTGGAGGTGACTTTATTGCTCTCTACAGCTCCTGAAGGGAGGTTGCAGACAGGTGGGGTTGGTCTCTTCCACCAGGCAGCACTGACAGAACCAGAGGACACAGCCTCAGCTACGTCAAGGAAGGTTTAGGTTGGGTATTAGGAAAAAAAATTTCACCAAAAGAATAAAGTACTGGAATTGTCTTCCCAGGGAGGTGGTGGAACCACCATCTCTGGATGTGTTTAAAAAAAGACTGGACATGGCACGTGGTGTTCTAGCCTAGTTGAGGTGTTAGGGCATAGGTTGGACTCGATGATCTCAGAGGTCTCTTCCAACCTCATTATTCTGGGATTCTGATTTCCAGAGGCAGCTCAGGGTCTGGTGTGATCCCTGTGGGATAAAGCCAGCACCAATCCCACCCACCTTT